CGTTTCCAACAGTACATATTTTACAGTGCCATAATTCTGTACGCAGCTATTCTACAGCAAGGGGCAGCACGACCACAATTACGTGGTAGCTTCATGAGCTTATTGTGATTGAGCAGCCTCAGGCCACCCCATTCCCTGACCGACGCTTTTGTCAAATGCGCAAGTCTTTCGACAATAACACAACCCCTTCGCCCGTATCGGAGCCGCCACACCCCCCCGGCCCCCAATCCACTCCACAATCCCCAAACCCGCCCCTCCCACATGCTCCTCCATCTGTCATCTGCCCCTCCGACCTGCTCCTCCACCCCACACTCGCTCTCCCGATCCGCTCCTCCACCCCCTCTCGATCCCACGGTCTGCTTCCCCATCCCCTCTGCAACGCCGACCCGCTCCTCTGTCCCCTTCCTGCCCCTCTGATCTGTTCCGGCCTCTGCTCTCTTGACTCCGGCACACCGAAATGCAGAATTATTCCTCAGTTGACGCCACCCACGCTCTGCAAATTCTTGCTGACGCTGCAGTGGAGCGTCAGAACGAGCTTGAGAAATTCTCAGTTCAGCCTGACGTCTCCGATTCAGATGAAGAAAGCGACTCTGACAGCCCAATCTTTGATCGGTTCTACGAGCGCAGCGGAGGGCGAGCAATTGTCAGCATGATCAATTTTGATCCAGAGGAGTTCACAATCATTTGGGCAAACTACAGAGATTTTATCACAACCCACTACAATTGTGGTCGAGGGAGCAAGTCACCGCATTTGGCAAAGGACGTCTTGTTTATGACGCTCACTACCCTAAAACACGGCGGGCAGTGGGATTTGCTGGCAAATCTCTTTTCCCTGAAGGGTCACACCTTCGAAAGACTCATAATGCGCTACGTGAAAACGCTTTCTACGCACCTGTATGACACAATTGTCGCTCAAAATGGGGAGCTGTATTCCATGACTGAAATGCTGAAAGAAAAGTCTACTTTCAAGCACTGTTCGTTCGCTCGCTACGCTGTAGATATCACTTTTCAGATGTGCAACCGGCCTAGTGGCAACATGCAGGAGGGACAAAAGGGTTTCTCCGGAAAACATAAGCTCTACGGCTACAAGGTGGTGGTTTTAGTTCTCCTAAATGGTTTAGCTATCGGCTGTTCAGAGCATGTGCCCGGGTCAGTGTCAGACCTTCAAATGTTTAAAGAAAACAGGGCTTTTCATGACGTGAATGTGAGGAAGGCAAGAAGTGACAGACATGTAACAGATCTTGGATTGTTGGCAGGTGAGTATCCAAGGCAATGGGCGATTTTGGCCGACAAGGGGTACCAGGGCGGAGCAGAGATTGTTCGCTTAGTCAGCCCAAAAAAGAAACCGCAGAATGCCTGTCTGTCGGTCGATGACGAGCGGTTTAACAGGAAAATCTCGTCAGACAGGATAATTGTAGAGAACTGGTTCGGTAGGGCGTGTGGTCTATAGGCTGTTGTCTCCAGCAAATAGAAGTGGTCTGAAAGCAGCTACGATACTATTTTTCAGCTATGTGCTGCGCTGACTAATTTGCACATTACTTGGCATCCACTTCGGCAGGAAAACCTGGATCGATATCAGCGTGTGAAAAATCGCCAGCTGCACATCGGTGTGGAACAAGTAGAGCGCCGACGGCAGTTCCAAGAGCGCTATCGTCGGAAGCGTGCGAGGCGCATGTCCCTGCAGTTGCACAGAGCTGGAATGCCAGATCGCGACCCCGATGCTGATGTATGAGGCAATGGCTACAGTGCCATTGAATAGTTCTGTAATGAATCACTTCCAACCCGAAAAATAAATGGCTACAAATTGTCCTAATTAATTGCCAAATTCTCAGTCGCGCATTGTAAGCGTTAGTCCCACCTGATGCCAATCAAACAATATACACCTCACCCGTCATTGCGTAGTTTCCCAGTCTTTGCGAGAAAGACCTAGTGAACCGAGTTGGGCTGCTGTTTCGATTGAGACTCCATTTTACCGCCAAAAAGCTTTCAGTAACATGCTAGACGGGGTTGTGTATGACGGGTTCGTTTCAATGGGAGGCGGGAGGTGCTTCGGCTTCATGAAAATATGCAAAAATCCACTTGTCAAATTTAAATCTTCTGTCAAATTTGGTGACGTACTGTTACGCCAATTTTTTCTTTTGAACACCTTCTTGTCCTTCAACGAGTTGGTTTTCGCTAGAACCGACAGGCAAGTGCTTCACTTCTAGTGGTGGCCTTCTGGTTTCAAAAATTCATACGTAAAATCCCGCGTTGCGTTGTACCGAAAAAATAAAATAACTTTTGTCCTCATATGAGGACTAATGGTCCAATACACAGTGTCCATCCCACAGGGGCCTGTTCTCCAGTATGATGCCATCCCTTTATGTAAAAAATTCAATTTACACCACAAATTAGAAACTCATCTTTTAGACAACATTTCTTTATCTTACTTGCCCTCGGCAACAACATTTTGAAGAACATCGGCGCGGCAGCTTTGAATATATGTATTGAAAGACTACGGATCTGCAAGAGATTAAACAACTCGTTGCCCGTTTACATGGGCGTTCTGTATCGAAGATATCATTACAAAACTATTCAAGGTTGTTAAAAAAGCATCTTTGCTACTGTTTATCGGACTGCGACTTGCATTATGGGGCTGGCAATAACATCTTCCAGAACACCAGGATGGTTGTTCTGAATAAACTTGAAAGATAGGAATTCAATGCAGATTAAATACCATGTTACCTTTTCAAACGGACTTTCTGGTTCCGAAAGTTATGTCGAATACGCTTTCCAGGTTGCTCATAAGAGCTTCCAGACAATTCAAAAAAAGACTGGTCTCAGTCCTTTTTTATGTAGTAAAAACGACATCTCGTTCTTGAGAACGAGATGTCGTTTTTACTACATAATTCCTTCCGCTATGCAGAATGTGAGGGTATATTTCTCCTTCTTATCGAGAAAGCGCATGCCTAGAAAAAACTGGTTAAAAGAAACCTCATATGCGGACACTTGCCCTCAAATGAAGGCAACGGTCCAATAGAGACTAGCAGTGTGGATTACGGAAAAACAATTTGCAGAAAGAGAAAGTTGGCAGTACAATACGACTTGCCTTGCGCCCTGAACCGCCACGCAAGCAAGCTTCATCAATTCATTCCCGCAAATAAGTAGCATTCCACGAGTGGAACTGCAGTACAGACAGCGGCAAAATAAAGAGTATCAAGCGTAGCAAATGGAAGCCCGGCTTCGTCTCACAGAGGACGCAAAAATCCAGGAGACAAACAAAACTCAAGAGTGTCATGCATGTGCTTCGGTTGGATTTTTGCCGAACCAATACAGTACACAGAGTTTGCATATAGGATTGGAGCAGGGCCTCATGAAGGAAAGCGATGTGCTTGAGCAGGACGTTTTTTTCCTCGCCAAGGATGGGTGCTGATGTACCTACAATGGAGGCTTTGCGAGCCGTCCTCCTTTTGGCATGCAGGTGATATCCTGTGGATACGATGTGGAGACTTCAAAGGGTGCAGAAATCAACCGAGCAATGCGAGGTAGCGTGGGGATATACAAGCGCCTGCACCCGTGGACGTCGTGCGGGGATGACGGGGCTAGATGGGGGAAGGTATAAAGCTGTTGGAGAGCAGTGACGCCGTAGAAACACAAGGAAGCGAAGTGATTCTGTGGCACAGACGGAAGCGCCATATGTCAATAGTGAGAGGATGCTGTCTGGATGCGTCGATGCAAGTATGAGGTATGAGAAGGCAAAGGCGGTTATCTCCCCACCCCGAAAACATAATATGTTTTACATATTATGTAGAAAATATTGCCGTTGTTGGGGGCATGGAAACTAATCTAATCAGTGTGCAATTGCACACTGTCATTTCCTTGTCATTCCCCAGGCCACAATAACTGTGGAATAAATTAGGGCTCTTTATTTTAATGTCCTCCGTCTTTCTCTGTATTCGTATCTGTTTCCTGTAAAATACCGAATGTACTGTATACTGTAGCCATCGCCAATGGCGCATTAATCAACAAGATATGTTGTCTAGATATGTTGTCTTGCCTATCAAGACTTCGGTCTTGAAAGGGACGGAATCGAACTGTGCTTTTTTTTCTCCGCAAGAGGATTTCTTTTCGTCGCTGAAATGAGCAGAGGGTTCGGGCTTCGCAAAATCAGAATCTCCTCATCGCAGAAACGTATACTCCTTCATAGCATGCCATTTAATCCTTGGAATTACCTTGTTTTTGAGATCACCCACCAGAACGCCCCCGTTGAAAAGCAAGGTAAATTTTATAGGCGTGCCGACCAATGCCAACCAAAAACAAAACTGAGCCGTGTCTGTAGTTGGATTCAGTGACGTTGGAATGACAGACAACAACACACATTTCTCCTGCCGCGCCCTGTAGAGCCCTATACTGTGCACTATTTGTGAGTTTGGTCCATCTGCGTCATGCACACTTACACGTTCCAGCCGAGTCAAGGAAGAGCAGGTCGCGATCGGTATTGTCATACAAGTCAGAACGAGAATTAAAATACAGTCCGGAAGTGAAATTCGTTTCTACATCTGGCAACTCGTATCGCGCTTTCCTTCCGCAATCGTTCATTACAAGTAAAGTAAATTTATGTCCCTTCCCAGTTCGGATCATGCGAAGTTGATATGCCAAACTTGCGAAAGGCCGATCACACCCCACACGGTGCGTTTTTGCACGTGGCACTCTTCCCCTTGCGTTTGCCCTTTGATTGGCCCTTTATGCCTTTCCGACATCGTGACGTCAGGGTACAGTACCCATACTTGTACCCAAAATCTGCCTCATTGCCTTCTCGAGTTACGCCGCTCCATTGCTTCCGTATCGAGGTTCTTGCTTGCTCGCGACGCATTGCGAAAACGCAAGAACTGAGCTAATCCCATCCTATTTCTGCCGATCACTCCTGGACAGGACGGCCTGCTCGTCCCGCACCACTTTCCCCGCAGAAACTCATCTCTCGTCCTCCGCCATTGCGCAACCTCCTCTACCTCCCGCTATATATGCATCGCCCCGAGCCCACCCCTCCATTCTCCAACACTACAACTTCTACAACGCTTCGCCCCCTTCCCAACTCATCTTCTTTAACTCATAACAACTCACCTACCATGCCGTTCTCACCCTCATCCACCCTCATCCAACCCTCCCACCCGGCTCTTCAAACCCTCTCTCCCTCTGATCGCCATCTGTTCTGCAAGTATGCATCCGGCCCGCAACAGTCTCCCGCCTTTCCCACCGTCCTTGCCGCCTTCGAACAAATGGCAACCACTCACCCGCATGCCCTCGCCGCAACTGAAGTCCTGGAAGACGGTCAACTCAGCGACGATGCCAACATCACATACGCCCAGCTCAACGCACAAGCCAACAAGCTCGCCTTCCTCATGCAAGAGCGAGGCGTCTCCAACGGCGATGCTGTCTGCCTCTTTCTCAAGCGCAGCGTCCAAATGATCGTCGGCATCATCGCCTCACTCAAGGTGGGCGCTTGTTACGTGCCGCAGCACGTCGGCCTCGCCCCAGACACCCAGCTCTTGAACGTCGCTGATGCAACGAGCGCCAAGGTCGTTCTCACCATGGATGAGCTCCAAGAAAAGCTGCCCGAATTCCCTCCGCACGTCTCCGTCATCCCCATCGGCAGCGTCATGCGTGACGCAAAACTGCCAACTGCAGAGCCCTCGCTGTCGCGCGCAGTGCGTCCCTCGGACCGGTGCTACATCATTTTCACCTCTGGCACAACCGGTGCCCCCAAGGGCGTGCAAGTCACGCACGCAAACGTCGCCAACGTCCTGCTCACCTCCCCCATGGACCTGGGCATGGCGCCCGGCGTGCGAGTTGGTCAGATTCTCAGCATCGCCTTCGACATGGGGGCGTGGGAGATTCTGGGGTGCTTGTCACACGGGGCCACGCTCGTCATACGGCATCGCAGCATTGCCAACGCTGTCAAGCTTGTCGACGTCGTTATCTCTACGCCCACCGTGCTCGGGACGTTGGACGCCGCCGAGATGACACACGTTAAGACGGTGGCAGTCGCTGGCGAGCCTTGTCCGCGCGGGTTGGCAGCGACGTGGGGCAAGTTTGCGACGTTCTACAACTCGTGCGGCCCGACCGAGACGACGATCGTCAACACGGCAAAACGCTTCGATCCTGAGTCCACTGTGCTCACCATCGGAAAGCCGACACCGAACAACACGGTATACGTACTCGACCCTGAGACGCTGGAGCCGTGCAAGATCGGGGAAGTTGGGGAGATGTGGGCAGGCGGTGAATGCGTTTCAGCGGGATACCTGAACAAGCCGGGGCTGACAGCTGAGCGGTACCTTGTGGACCCTTTCATAAACGGCGTGAATTCGTTTATGTACAAGACAGGAGACCTCGGTCGATGGGACGCCAACGGGGAACTGGAGCACTACGGGCGCGTGGACGATCAGGTCAAGGTGAAGGGCTTCCGTGTGGAGCTGGATGGTGTATCTGCGATGGCCGAGACTGCACATGGGGTGGAGAAGGCGGTGGTTCTGAAGATCGGAACTGAGCTGGTAGCGTTCGTGACACCGGAGTACGCGAAGACAGAGGCTGTCAAGGAGGCAGTGGGCATCAAGCTGCCGTACTACTGTGTGCCTTCCCGTGTTGTGGGAATGGGAGCTCTGCCCAAGACCGGGAACGGGAAAGTAGACAAGCGGACGTTGAAGGAAATGGATGCGAGAAAGGTGTTGCAGCCCATGCTGACAAGGAGGTCGAGCTCGCGGGTCTCTCACGTCAGAAGTACTCTGCGAACACTTCGGGTATTGTGAGCGAATACTGTAGATGCAGTAGCTTATACTATTTAATCGTTATTAGCTTCCAAATGTTGCAAGAAGACTTTGTCTTCCGTGCACTTGGTTTGGATATATTCTCCTTTCTTTCTTCTCATTCTTAACAATATTGCTAACTTTTGAAACGCACTGGAGGCTTTCAAGATCAAATTGAGTTGAACGAAGCTTAGTCACTCTGTCACAAGCTTTACGTGATTATGGTACCCTCGATGGTAGTAGTTATGTACGGATTCTCTTCGGGAGAAGGGCCTTTTCACTGTTCACACTGAATTGCACTGAATTTTAGGTCCTTATATCACGATGCACCAAGACAACGAGTCCCGCGGGAAGTGCTTGACAGAGTGGTATTGCATTGCCGCCACCGACCTCAAGCCAACTGCTTTGGCGGCTCGCAGCCCCTCACTCCCGGAATCTGACGGTATCGTTACCTGCACCGGGGTGTGATCTCAACTTAGGTTCCTCGGTAACGAGCAATATAAGGATAAGGTAGGTCTTCGGCAGAGAGACCAGTACGTCATACATCTACAAGGCATCTACAGAAAACAGTGAATGCCCTACTTCGACGACCAGAGAGCTGTCCTACTTCTCCATATTTGTAGTGGCCTGAACCCAGCTGATCATCTCTACACATACAAGAGCGAAGTTGATAGCGCTCTAAGCAGACGAAGAAGGCCAACTGGAAGAGCATTTCACTTGCTTTCTATGTCTTTTCCATGTGTAGGCAGCTATTAGAGGATATCAGCGGTGGATTCGGTAGCAGAGAACGGTGCAATGTATCAGTGAGAGCAGCGTATTTGGTCGCATTACGTGAAATTGCTTTGCGGGGGAGGGAAAACTAAAAACGTATCATTCGCAGATGCAATTGCACGTAAGCTGCAACTAGCAATGACTCAACAAATGAGGCTGTAGTAATCCAGCGAGCATATTCTGGATTATACTCGCTGGATTACTACAACCTCGCGACCTTGACAGCGGAATATAATCCGCTGTCAATGTCGCGACGCAGAGAGTGCGGCTTTGCGGTGCCATATAAGCAGAAAGTGAGGCAGGGTGGTGGAGAGCGACGGTATGTATGACGTTGGAAATCCCTACCAGGATATAAAACAGGTTGCATGTACCCCGAAGTTGATGATGCAAGCGCCCCGATTGAGGCAGTTTAACAAACTACAGAGAGTTTATGTCAATTGACAGACAACTTCACGCAGTGCTCAAATTCAAAGTATGGGAGCTCTTTGCGCTCCGAAGAGAATCCATGCAAAACTACTACCATCGAGGGTACCACAATCACGTAAAGCTTGTGACAGAGTGAGTAAGCTTCGTTCAACTCAATTTGATCTTAAAAGGCTTTAGTGCGTTTCAAAAGTTAGCAATATTGTTAAGAATGAGAAGAAAGAAAGGAGAATATATCTGAACCAACAAGTGCACGGAAGACAAAGTCTTCTTGCAACGTTTGGGAGCTAATAACGATTAAATAGTATAAGCTACTGCATCTACAGTATTCGCTCACAATACCCGAAGTGTTCGCAGAGTACTTCTGACGTGAGAGACCCGCGAGCTCGACCTCCTTGTCAGCATGGGCTGCAACACCTTTCTCGCATCCATTTCCTTCAACGCCCGCTTGTCTACTTTCCCGTTCCCGGTCTTGGGCAGAGCTCCCATTCCCACAACACGGGAAGGCACACAGTAGTACGGCAGCTTGATGCCCACTGCCTCCTTGACAGCCTCTGTCTTCGCGTACTCCGGTGTCACGAACGCTACCAGCTCAGTTCCGATCTTCAGAACCACCGCCTTCTCCACCCCATGTGCAGTCTCGGCCATCGCAGATACACCATCCAGCTCCACACGGAAGCCCTTCACCTTGACCTGATCGTCCACGCGCCCGTAGTGCTCCAGTTCCCCGTTGGCGTCCCATCGACCGAGGTCTCCTGTCTTGTACATAAACGAATTCACGCCGTTTATGAAAGGGTCCACAAGGTACCGCTCAGCTGTCAGCCCCGGCTTGTTCAGGTATCCCGCTGAAACGCATTCACCGCCTGCCCACATCTCCCCAACTTCCCCGATCTTGCACGGCTCCAGCGTCTCAGGGTCGAGTACGTATACCGTGTTGTTCGGTGTCGGCTTTCCGATGGTGAGCACAGTGGACTCAGGATCGAAGCGTTTTGCCGTGTTGACGATCGTCGTCTCGGTCGGGCCGCACGAGTTGTAGAACGTCGCAAACTTGCCCCACGTCGCTGCCAACCCGCGCGGACAAGGCTCGCCAGCGACTGCCACCGTCTTAACGTGTGTCATCTCGGCGGCGTCCAACGTCCCGAGCACGGTGGGCGTAGAGATAACGACGTCGACAAGCTTGACAGCGTTGGCAATGCTGCGATGCCGTATGACGAGCGTGGCCCCGTGTGACAAGCACCCCAGAATCTCCCACGCCCCCATGTCGAAGGCGATGCTGAGAATCTGACCAACTCGCACGCCGGGCGCCATGCCCAGGTCCATGGGGGAGGTGAGCAGGACGTTGGCGACGTTTGCGTGCGTGACTTGCACGCCCTTGGGGGCACCGGTTGTGCCAGAGGTGAAAATGATGTAGCACCGGTCCGAGGGACGCACTGCGCGCGACAGCGAGGGCTCTGCAGTTGGCAGTTTTGCGTCACGCATGACGCTGCCGATGGGGATGACGGAGACGTGCGGAGGGAATTCGGGCAGCTTTTCTTGGAGCTCATCCATAGTGAGAACGACCTTGGCGCTCGTTGCATCAGCGACGTTCAAGAGCTGGGTGTCTGGGGCGAGGCCGACGTGCTGCGGCACGTAACAAGCGCCCACCTTGAGTGAGGCGATGATGCCGACGATCATTTGGACGCTGCGCTTGAGAAAGAGGCAGACAGCATCGCCGTTGGAGACGCCTCGCTCTTGCATGAGGAAGGCGAGCTTGTTGGCTTGTGCGTTGAGCTGGGCGTATGTGATGTTGGCATCGTCGCTGAGTTGACCGTCTTCCAGGACTTCAGTTGCGGCGAGGGCATGCGGGTGAGTGGTTTCCATTTGTTCGAAGGCGGCAAGGACGGTGGGAAAGGCGGGAGACTGTTGCGGGCCGGATGCATACTTGCAGAACAGATGGCGATCAGAGGGAGAGAGGGTTTGAAGAGCCGGGTGGGAGGGTTGGATGAGGGTGGATGAGGGTGAGAACGGCATGGTAGGTGAGTTGTTATGAGTTAGAGAAGATGAGTTGGGAAGGGGGCGAAGCGTTGTAGAAGTTGTGGTGTTGGAGAATGGAGGGGTGGGCTCGGGGCGATGCATATATAGCGGGAGGTAGAGGAGGTTGCGCAATGGCGGAGGACGAGAGATGAGTTTCTGCGGGGGAAGTGGTGCTGGACGAGCAGGCCGTCCTCTCTGGGGTTGATCGGCAGAAACAGGATAGAGTTAGCTCAATTCTTGCGTTTTCGCAATGCGTCGCGAGCAAGCAGAGGACCTCGATACGGAAGCAATGGAGCGGAGAATCACGAGAAGGCGATGAGGCAGATTTTGGGTACGGGCCCTGTACCCTGACGTCACGATGTCGAAAATTACATAAAGGGCCAATCAGAGGGCGAGCGCATGCAAGTAAGCCACTTTATTGGAACGAGGCGCCGTGTGGGGTGTGGCCAGGGCGAGTATTTCACATCAGTATCACATGATCAGCGGTGCGTGCTGTAATGGGTTGTTGCGGAAGGAATCTCAATGCTTGTGTGATATGAGTTATCGAGTTATCATTTGTAGAAAAGGAATGGAGCTCTACATAAACAATTCATGATTCTGACTTTGACAACACTGATTCCGACTTGCTCATCAATCACTCAGCTGTAACACACATGTTCCTTACGTAGCGCAAATACACCATTCAAACTCGCACACGGAGCAGTGGGCTGGGCGCGGTGGGAGAAACGTATGCTCAGTATGTAATCACACCCGACTGCTGATGTGGATCAATTATGCTTTTGATTTCAGTATTAGCATATCCATAGGAAGCGCTGATACACACGGGTGTTTTATTAGATGAACTGATGTATATAAAGGGTGTACCTTCACAGGATGTATGCCACAAGACGTTTCTGCATATGAATCTGCGAAGCCTGTTAATTTATCGCCGAAAATTGCTCCTTTTGCGCGGAGGAAAATTTTAAATCAAAACTGAATCCTCCTGAAGAGCAGTCTCTTTCAAAATGGAAGCATAGGCAGATCTAACACTCGTTTTGAGTAGACCAACCTGCCATTTGCTATGGCTGCACAATTTCTGTGCTGCAGTATGCAGGAAACAGATCCGAGCACGAAGAAAGAAAGAGGACAGACATCACGGCACTCGCCGCCTCACATACAGTATCAACAGCAACAGTGGACATTAGGCACTGTCCCGATGCCCTAGAAATGGTAATATTTTATACACATTTTTGGGAGGGAGATCTCTCCTCTTGCCCTCTCATACTTGATACTTGTTTCTACGCATCCATACAGCAATCACCAAGCACCACTGACCGATGACTCCATTTCCGTTGTTGTATCTTGGTTTCCCTGCTTTTTTCCTTTGCGCCACCGCCATCTAACAACTCGTCCTTCACCACCGCATTTAGTCCTGTCATCGCCGCACGTGCTGCAGTCCACGGATTTATAAGCTTTTACATTCCCGCGGTGCCACACATATTGGGAGTCGTCTCAGTTGACCTTTACACTCTTCTATAGTCTGCAGTCTTGCAACCACAAGATGACATCATCTTGTGGTTGCAAGACTGTCAACATCTCCATAATGAAATCAGAACGGCTTACAAAAGTCTCTGTTGTAGGCTAACACGCCTTGCCTGAGAACATCATCTTCCTTCGCGAATCCCCCTTCTTCCCTCAACAAATGAGGCTGTAGTAATCCAGCGAGTATATCCCGCTGTCAAGGTCGCGAGGCGGAGAGTGCGGCTTTGCGGTGCCATCTAAGCAGAAAGTGAGGCAGGGTGGTAGGGAGGGACGGTATGTACAAGGTTGGAAATCCCTACTAGGATATAAAACAGATTGCATGTACCTCGAAGTTGATGATGCAAGCGCCCCGATTAGGCAGTTACTTGCCCAGGAGTTAATTACACAAGAAATTTGTCTCACGGCATTTCTCAGTGAGAAATTCTCACGTTGCATGCGTAAACTCTCTCAAATAAAATATGACGTGGTGATCTGTCATTCAATGACAGCGCTTCACACAGATCTTGCGAGTTCCTCAGCGGAAAGCACCTCCTCTAACTTTACAAACCTCCTCTCCTGAATAGACAACTGCGCTGCCACGCCAATAGCCACAGACAAAAGCCCATGATGTAACCCCGATGTCGGCACATCGACGCACTCCCCCGTCTTGACTCCCCTCACAGCCTTGAGAATATCAATGTGCTCCAAATATGAACTCCCATGATGATGCCCCCGGTACTTGATGCGCTCATCATCCACCGTCTCAAACTCCACATCGCCGCATGCATGCTTTCCCCTAATCCCGGTACGTACCTCGAGCTGAGGTAGAAACGCTTCAAGCTTGCCCTTATCCCCAGTGATGGCGACCTCCTCTTGCGAGCGGCTTGCTTCGGCAAACATGCATAAATCCAGACAGGCTCTTCGGCCGCCAGAGTACTCGATGATGACGTATCCATTGTCAAGTATGTCCGACTTCACGCCATCGTAGACCTCGTCGAGATGGTTCACATCCTGTCCACCGGACGCCATGACTGCGAGGGGTGTATGTGGCCGCATGATGCGATTGAAGAGGTCGAAAAAGTGGCAGCACTTCTCCACAAAGGTGCCGCCCGAGTTGGCGGAAAAGCGGTTCCAGTTGCGGACCTTTTGCAAGAATGGGAAGCGATGTTCACGGATAGCGACCATGCGCGGGTCTCCCACGACGCCGCACTTTGCGTCTGCGATTATGCGGGCGACGGGGGGCATGTACGAATATTCGAGGCCTACAAAAGTGATGCCCTGGCGCTTGCCAGCGGCTAGAATGACTTCTCGGCAGTGCGGGATTGTGGTGCACAAAGGCTTCTCGACGAGGATGTGCATGGCAGAGTTGGCTTGTTCGTAGGCATGCATGAGGACGGAGTGATGCGTGTGGTTAGGGGTGGCGATTATGGCTATGTCACAGAGATTGGCAGCGAAGAGGTCGGCGGCGGAGTCGAAGACGGAAAGGTGTTCTGCGGTGGCGGGACTTTCGGCGGCGATGATGGAGAGACAGGATTGAAGGGACCCGGGGTGGTTGTCGGCGATGCAGACGATGGAGACGGCGGGGAGGTTGAAGAGGTTGCGCAGATGCTCGATGCCCATAAGGCCTACGCCGACGACGCCATAGGTGGTGAGGGGGGGGTCTGTGGTCATGGTGGAGGCGGGTCGTTGGTAACAGGGAGCGGGAGGGGGGGGGGGGAGAAGGAAGGTTATTCGGGTTAAATAGATTTGTTTATGTACTGTACAAGTGTTGGCTGGGGAGCATGTCGTGCGAGCTCCCGGAAGGCGAAAAGTGGAGATATGAGGACGAAGATATCTCGCTATAGAGTCTCAGCGAAAATTGGAGTCTTTGTTAGTGGAGGCATATCGTCAGCTTGATTCATCTCCAACGTTGTTACTGGCGCGATGGAACCTGCTGAGCCTTTCGCAGTGCCCGAACAGCCGCAATTCCGATTGCACGCAATAAAATAACACGATGCGCTTCGCACCTGCCACTCAAACCTCTAAGATTCCGCCTCGCCAGCACCGGAAATGCATCTCATGAAATACGAGGAAGACGGTGCGTAATTCCTTATCCTCGAGATCAACCACGAGTGACAATAGAGCGGTGCCGTGAGTGCGGAGACGGCGTCGTGCCGCGCATTGCCGTTGATCGACAGCGTCCGCGCGATGAAAATCCTCTCGCTTCAGGTTGTGCTCCGTACCCTCTTCGTCATACGTATGATGATTGCAATTCCTCCAACTTCTTATCGATGTCCTCAACTGATCGCCCCAGTGCTGTAGCGCATTCCTCCCGACCGGTCGGCGAAAGCCCGGTGAACGCTTGGCACAAGTCTCCATCCACCACATGTCTTGCCGGGTAAAAGGACGACCGGTACGCCGTATGGTCTCGCCCGCAGATCGACTTGCCCCTTGTCCTCATCTCCCTTTCCAAGGCGCGCGCGAAGTCGATGTCATGCTGTGTGCGCAGTGGTGCCAGGATCCCGATGGTCCCCGAGAGTGTCGAGTAGATGAGAGCCTCGTCCCCAGCATTCTTCTCTAGTTTCGTTGTTTGCAACGCCAAGGAGCCCCGGACGAGACTGCCGGTCATCGACCCGACGTGGTAGCTAGCTTCCACTACGAGCTTGTGCGGCGCGATGTTTATCGCCGCCCGCCCCCGATCGACTGGCGATGCACTCGTGATCGACAAGCCGCCGTTGAGGATTCCGAGTTCAGTTGGAACGCGGAGAACAAAGATGTTGCCAAACTTGTCACCTGCTGACACTGTGTTGTAATCTAGCACCTCCAGCGTCACGATCCAACGCGGCACGGTGTCTGCTGCGAGTGGCACAAAGTGCCCACCTCGCCTCCCGATCGCAGCGCCTCGAGTATGGTTCGCGGCGATAGGCTCTGAGGGCTCGTATTTGAAAAGAGTTACAGAGTCGCTCACATCTCCTACAAAAATTCGGTCTCCTCCCGAGATTGCGAGGGCCGAAATTTTGTTGCGGACTGCCAATTTATACTCGCCCTTCCGTAGAAGCTGTTGCTTGCCGAGGTCGTAGAGACGAAGAGTTGCCCCGATCCCGACAAGAAGCATGTCTCGGAAGGCAGTTAGACAATAGACTGCTTCGGGTACCACGGTCTTGTGCACGAAAGTCAAGCGTTCGGTGGCAGCATCCACCTGGTATACACGGAGTACAAAGGTCTCCTCACGCTTCGAGCTTCTCTCATCCAACGGAGACCGCGGCCTTTTTGGCAGTTTGGGGGCCGTGCCAGATACCTGCATGTTTGAGGCTACGCTTACGACCAAGTATCGGTTAGTACCTGTCGTGTCGCCACCAAAATCTAAAAACGACGCCACCGTCAAAATACAATCGGCTTCGTCCATCTTCACAGTGTCTAACGTTTCAAAAGCTGAAGGGCGGACACTTGAATATGGGTTGGTACCCTCAAGGTCAGGATCGTCTTCCCCATTCTCGTCAGGTTTTGTTTCTCCGTCTCCTATTCTCGCTAGCCGCAGGCGCGAATTCCATCGAATAGGTCTTGCTGCGTCGCACCAAGGAATGTAGCCTTGGCTCAACAATTTCATCTAACATCGAGCTATCGGGTAAACAGTCATCAATGGCATTTAAGGAGACATTCTTTCTGATTCGTGGTATACGAACAACTTTTCTTGGCGTTGACTCTGTTCTGGAGCGGGCAACGGTGAAGGAGGAATCCAGTGCCGTTAATGACGGCACCGCAGTGACCGAGAGGCCATGCGGGAGGCAAGCAGATGTAATCAGGGCACTCACACTTTCTAAGGATAGCAGCCGTAGTCTTGATCCGTACGTAACGGCAAACCCGTCTGGTGACTGCTCCAGCGCGAAGGCAGCGGCACGATCCATGGGATCAGTCGACAGCGGCGACATTGTCGCCCGTCCACCGCGGAGAAAGAGTAGCCAAGTCGAACTGCCCATCAAGAGACAGGTCGGAACGCCGGAAATCTTGACATGCTTGACTCGAACTGGCTTCTCTCCCAAAAAGTGGCTCTGCTTGCTTGACAATGTACCAGTCAGCGCGTCGACAGTCAAACGCACAAGGGCGCCGTGGATTGTACCGATAACAAGCGCGAGAAAAGGCTCATATGATGCTAAGTTCGACAATGTCTTGGAGCTGCCCACCGATGAAATTATCGCTTCTTTGTCAATGCATGCAAAGTCGATTAATGCAATGCTTTCAACAGGAGCAGGGGCGAGGTGTAATCCGAGAGCTTCGATAGAACCATCCTCGAGTATTTGAAAGATACGGACTTTTACGCTGACTCCGTCTCCCGCCGCGAAAAACTTTGACCGCTTCCGCCCCGGAGGAACGTCTGGAATGGCGATCACAGGCGCCCCAATTTCATCTGCCTCGCTGCCAGCCCAGTCTATTTCTTCGGGAACCTGCAACGCGTCCGCCTTTTTGCCCAGCTCCTCGAGGGACCCTGTACTGGAATCGACCTCAAAATTAACAATAGCACCAGTCGACAGAACAACCACAACCTGCTGCTGGTTGCAACATCCAGCTAACACAACAGCCGGTACTGGTGGGATCCATTCGCTTGCAGATTTCGCATCCCCACCCCTTACGAAGCGAACCCCGGATCTTGTGACCTGAACAAAGCTATTCGTACCTATTTGACCTGCGGCAAGGGTGCGCTCGTTCAGCTCGAATCCAGAGTTTACCGTCTCCTCAAGCTTTGCGTCTCCAACTTCTAGGACTTTTGTCTTCTTTGCAAATGACACAACGATGAGGCGATGATATAAACTCTCCGCATTTTCCTTGCAAGAGAACACCTCCGTTACCTTTGCTCGGAGCTCGTTGGGTTGCGACATCTCCAGTACCCCCATGCCGCGTCGGATAACCCTTACGCAACCACCTCGTGCCTTTCCAGTTGTACAAACTAAACTTGACGACTGTCCGACACCGCCGCCGTCCAGCTTGCACATACCCAGTATTGGGCCGAAAGAATCTATGACTTCCGCAACGGTGAGACGACAAAGCAAAGCCGAGGGCCGAAACTGCAGCTTCCCAGCCAAAGCTAGCTTGACTGTCGACTCATTGCTGTCATTTACCGGAGACGCAGCCGGCCCCCCATTTGCTTGAAATGCACTCATAGTCTCCCCGGTGGAATCTCCCCCCTTGTCCAACCACTCACTTGCCCCAGTCGAACTCGAAAATCCGCCCGCCGGATTATCTTCAGGTACATTCACCTCTTTAAAGCGTAGCAGCAGCGCATCGCTCCCCTCGATTGCGGCGGCCAGGTAGCCTGATCGAAAAATGCACATGCCCAAGGCCGGCCCAGGGAGGGTGTCAAAGTAAAACAAGGAAAGCTTGGTGGCGCCGCGATCCGGCTCCCATGCGAGCTCGGCTTTAATAAGGTCGCCAAGTTCCGTGCTGAGCAGGAAGAAGAAGGCGTTTCGTTTGCGGTCATGGTAGGCGGTTCCTGCGACGACTAAGGGCTCCTTGCACTCGCTACCCTGCCGATACGGAAGACGGGCCTCTAACTGGGTGGGCTGGGCATCGGGATGGGTTCCATTGGACTTTTCAGGTTGTGCGCCATCTGGGGGATCCTCCATGAGGGCGATCAACCTCCCCTCGTCATCTTCATCAAGCAAGTTCCTGTACGCCACAATGCCAGGGCTACATACCAAGACCCCTCCCGGTCCATCAGTGCCTCCGGGAACAGTAAGGAGCAAATTACTCCCCGCTGCGACGCGGGCGGTCCTTTTCCTGACGACCTGATTCAAACCGAGATCAAGCTCGTAGTACGCGAGGACCTTGTAGCTAGTGGCATCGTATGTGCGCTCCAGGGCTGCGAAGACTGGGTTATCGAATCCGACATCGAGGCTAGTCAAAGCGTGGGTGATGAGGGCGGACTTGTGTGCCTCGAGCGGGGAGGAGATGGTGAGGTTTTCGTCGGGGTCGCGGTTGAGGACGTAGGCGAGCTTGCCCTTCTCGAGGGCGGCGAGCATGGCGGCGCGGCCGTGGGGCTCGCATACAGCGTACTCTGCGGGGACGGTGCGGCGCGCGCCGCTCTTGCCGAACGGCTCGCAATGGACGCGGCGGAAGGCCATGGCCGAGGCGGACAGGATGGTGACGGCGCCCGCATCCGTGGTGAGCAGGAGATAGTCGCGGCGCGTGCCGGGGAGACGGAAGGTAGACAGGGAGCGGATTTGGCAGAAGACGGGCGTTTGGAAGAGCGGCTGCAGGTAGGAGGTTTTCGGGTGCAGCCGGTACAGATGGAGCGAGCCGGCGCGCGCAAGGACGAGCTCTTGCTGCCGCGGGAGCGTGAAGGAACCGTTTGCCAGGTGTACAGGGGTAGAGGAACAGAGCGCCGTGAAGTGGTAGAGATGCATGGTGAAGAGGCGGGGTGGCTGAGGAGCCGGGCGTGCGACGGGAGAGCGGGAAGGGAAGGGGGGAAGGGAAGGGGGAAGGAGGGAGACGATGCGGGTCAAGACAGCGGAAGGAGAAGAGGAAGAGAGGATGAAGAATGTTGCTCGACGGAATGGGTTTGATCCTCCTTGTTGGACTTTTCTATTTTCCGGAAATTTTCGCCCCTGTTTCATTCCGCAGCGGCGACGCGATCACATTCCTCTGGCATCCTTCACTCCCATGCATTGCGCAAGTAGAACGGCCCTGTCACCTCTGTCCTCAACCCGCGATGATGTGATCCCAACAAGTTCCACACCGGACGGCGTTGTCCGCGACCAATTTGGAACGTTGCATACACGCCTGCACGCAGTGAGAGAACAATGCGACGCGCCCTCCCTGCCGGACGAGACCGCGCGCTGGCCAGCGCATGATCTCTTGGCAGGTCACAGTCCTTATATGCAAGGAACGAGGAGCCCGCATCAGGGATGATCGGCTCACAGCCATGTCAAAGGACCATTCTACGGACTTGAGAAACCTGCAGCTAGCTGAGAGAGAGGCTATCATGTCTGTGTGCAAGGCCTGTCACCGCGATGGGCCCATCCAGAATCCGTTGAATATATGTAACGCATGCTTCATTAATGCAGTTACGTATATGCTGGAGTGCAGCAGTACTGACCACTCCATTTCACCCACCATCCAAGACCACAAGGAGAAACAGTTTCCGATAGAGACCCATACCGCTGACGCTCAAGCGGAGAGCTGCCCTCCCGGGGACGGCGAGGGGAGCATCGAAGCAAAGCCGAGGGAAGAGGGCTTGGATGTTTCGCTGGATTCAGAAGTCGGAGGACATCCAAGTCATGTCGCTAGTACTGTCGACAAGATCGAAGCCGGAGAACCTTGCGATGAGGGCGGCGAGACCCCGAGTCGTAAGAGTCGGAAGAAAAAGAACCCTAAGTCCAAGCAGCAAAGGCGCTCAACAAAAGGGGATGCCACGCAAGTCGATGACTCCGGTCTGGAGGCCCAAGAAGGGACGGCAACAACTGAAGACCAGGCGCTGAGCGACAAGACACCGCAGACACCGAAATTGCGGACTCCAAGACGACGCAGTAAGGGTCAAGTATGTGCCACCTGCCGTTACCTGACCCCCAATCGAAAGGGAAAGCAATCGAGCGCTGCCGGGAATTTCTGTGACAAGTGCAAAGAAGAGCGAATGCACAGAAGAAAGTCACTGCGATCCAACTCGAAGTGGGATGATGAGACTTTAAACAGAACCGATAGCGTCGAGAATCTTGTTAATGTCAAGTTGAGTTTCATCTTAGAAAACGAGGAGGGTTGCCGTAGATGGGGCATGCATCCAAGCGATTCCTTGTCCTCGTTGCTAAACTCGATCGCCAAGAAATTGAACTGTCAAGAGGTCGTTGATCTTGAGTACATTGATGACGACGAGGACACTATAGCACTCAAAAACGACGAAGATGTTAAGGAAATGTTCAGCATTGTGAAGAAATCGCGTATTGATCCACTGAGAATGAATACCACTCTCAAGCAAGATTGATTCCCTCTACCTTGCTAGATGTTGCTCACTGGCAGCCCCACTTTTCACATTTACGAAGCGTAAATGGAGAGATCTAGCTTCAAGCCCTGCACGGCTTGCATAAAAGATAGATTGCTTGAAGAGTATTCCCTTCTCTACTTTGCAATATCACTTCATTCAAACTATTCTTTCGACGCTATTGCAATTCTCGCTCCTCTCATAAAGATTATTGCAAGAGCGGGAGGAAGCAATGTCAGTGATACAATGCTCGACGACTGGGGCAAAATCGGAGCGGGGCTGAAGACGAGTCGAGAGCGACATAAACGTGTTAATTTTGGAACATTGTTTACCTAGCAGTCTGGGAACAGTTTCATGTAATCATGTGGGAGGGCCGATGCTACATATTCAGAGGAAAGGCGGTCAAGGACGCGCACAGCGGCCGATTGTCCAATTTACTTGTTTAACTGTGCGGCTGTTCGGATGCTTCATTTATCTTACGGTACGAAGTCTGATGCCACATCACACGACAGGCGGTCAAAGACTCACACTTGGTTCGGACAGGAGGAGGGCAGTCCGTGACAGGGCATACGTGCGAGGGTAGCAGATGCATTACTAGACCTGATGACATAGGTGAGGCGCTGGGAGAGCCGGGATGTGGCGGGTCCAAACATCGCGCCGGTTCGGATGACCTTCCTTCAAATTCTAGGTAGGGTGGGCCGATACGATATCATGGGGACAGACGTCAGGGAATCACACATGTGTGGGGCAGGATAGAGCGGAGCCATGAGAAGGCATTCGGGCGACAGTCGCCCATGCGACTCTTGACCTGACAACGTAGCGCACACTTTCTGGACATTAAATTAATCGAACTGGATTATTTTAATTCCTCTGTACATGCCAATGTTGTATAAATACCTTCCCTTTCGACCTCCTCGCACGGCAAATTGGTCTCCATAGCTCAGCTGGTTAGAGCGCGGGACTGTTAATCTCGAGGCCGTGGGTTCAAGCCCCACTGGGGACTACCAAAATTTTTTTTGAATGATCGGTTAACATTTCAAAAATTTTCCTTGAAAATTCGGCATGGTCGAGAGGTTTACACTACTGTCCTCCTTGGGATTACAGTGGTCCTGCGCATTAGTGCCGCTTTTGTTTGTGCCAGCCTCCCATTAGTGCAGGACAGCCACGTGTCATACGGTTCCGGCTGTTATGCCAGCAATGACGTCATGGATGTTTTGGAGACAGTTCAGGTGGTGCAGAGTCTGCCTGAAATGCGATCAAGTGATGCTCTTCATCAAGAGGAGAGGGCAGAAAATGCAAGAGAGAGAAAGACGAGAGAGAAAGACTGTAACCCCCATGTCGTCGAGATGGCGAAATTGTTTGGAGAGCTGGAACTTTTGGCGACTGCGAGTGCCAACCTCCAGACGCTCTATCGCATCTAAGGTCGACAAAGCGCGCATTTCTCACTGCGAAACACAACAGAGAACTAACTTGGTTCACAGAGCAGGCAGACGTTAAACTACACTACGGCATAACCTTCCTCTCGGCGTTCTTTACGGTCGCAAGAATTGGGTCGCAACGGGGCTTTAGGGGATTTAGGAAAAATGGAAGACGCAATCATGAGGATGACCGTGTTCGAGATTGGGCATCGCTCGTGGTGTGGTGCCACACCACTGCCAGCAGCGAGAAACGAGAAACGAGATGGAGGAGTGGAAATCTCCTCAGAAAAGTCGGCAAAACTCGTGGAAATTTTCAATCTACCCGAGACGGGTTTACTTTACGTCCAGCGACTTTACGGGCCAATGGAAAAAACAAGGCGTTATTTTACGGACACGTTATGTAATCCTTCGCTGCTTGCCCCGCATTTACCGAAAGAAGAAACTTGATTCACTGATAATTACTCGGAACATGATCGCACGTCGTCCGACGGCGTACGTCCTACACCAACGACTTACGGTACATGCGCATCGAGTTCTAGAACATATTTTAATATGTTCAAGAACTCGTTAATGCAACAACCCTCAACATCCACAGCGCAATCAGTGAATCTGTAACGAGCTCCCCCAATCAAAAGTACTCACGTGTACCATGCTGATCACACCGTTGAAATGGAGACCGATCCTGCTAAGACCCGATCCTACGCAGGCATCTCGCTCTGTAATCTTTACAACTCTGGCATCCGTCGCGATCCAGTGGCGCGACATCTACCAGACATATCTTATCACTTCCCACTGCATCGCCCGCGTAGAAACCCTGACCATAACCCTCTACCTCTAGACCACGCCCTAACCATCCACCGCCTGCCTCACACCGCCTTCCTTCGGTATATGAAAGAGAGCCTCGGACATCGCCCCGACTCCTGTCCTCAACCTACCCGCACCCCCCCGCACCCCCGCCGCACCTCATCACCCCGAAATCCACCATGCACATTCCTATTCCCTTCGTCCTCATCCTTCTGCTCCTCCCACTAGCGCGCGCCTCCGCCTTCGCCGCCCTCCCCGCGCAAGCCCGCCAATCCACCCTTTCATGCCGCCGCGCCCTCCCTCTCTGCCTGTCCAATCTGGATGCCGGCCAGCCCTGCGCGACGCTGCCCACGCCGGAGCGTCTCCGCGTCCCCGCGCTAGCCCCCGGCACGTACAACCTCACCAACATCCGCCCGGGCGTCTACGTCTACGATGACGGCACCTACCTCACCCTCATCCTCTTCCGCGCCTCGCGCCTCGCCCTCGTCGACTTCCCGGACAGCCCGGGCTCCAACCTGCCCAACGCCTCGCAGACCCTCCTCACCACCGCCACGGAGGAGGTGCTCGCCGGCCGCATGCCCTCGCGCGTCGACATGATCTACTCGCACGCCCACTTCGACCACATCGGCGCCGCCACCCGCTTCGCCGCCTACGCGCGCGCCGCCTTCCCGGACGCCCCGCTGCGCATCTGGGGCTCGCGCGCCACGCGCGACGCCATCGCCCGCTCCACCTCCGGCCGCGCCCCGCCGCCGACCAACATCCTCGGCCCCGACGCCCGCACGTTCGCCTTCGGCGACGACCTCGCCGTCGACCTGCGCCTGCTCAAAGCCCACACGGACTCCGACCTGCTCGTGCACATCGCGCCACGCGGAGACCTCCCCGGCGTCGCCATGCTCGTCGACGTCGTGTTCCCCGGCTGGTCGCCGTTCAGCCTGTTTGCGATCGCGAACGACGTGCGCAACTACATCGAGGTGCACCGCGAACTGCTCAAGTTCGACTTCGAAGTGTTCGTGGGCGGGCACCCGAAGCTCGGCGCGCGCCGCGACGTGCACCGAAACCTGCGGTTCGTCACGGACGTGATCGACGCCGCGGCGCAGTCGTCACGCGAAATTACACCGGAGGCGCTCGGGGAGGCCGGCATTGGCAGGCAGTTTGACCCAAGCGCGGTGGAGTTTGGAAACATTTGGTACGGGTTTCTCGGGGTGTTCCGCAAGCTGGAGGTTGCCGGGTGCTACCGCAGAATCCTCGAGAAGTGGGGCTGCAAGCTGGCCGGGCTCGAATTTACGCTGGAGAGCCACTGCTTCGTGGCCGTCTCGTTCAACTTGTTAGATGTGTGACGGAGCCCGTTGGTTGATCCAAGCGGCGAAGCGCTGTTTGCGTACTGTATCAGGGGACAAGCCGAGGACTTGGGCGCACTCCGCGAAGGAGTGCGGCCTACCCTTCGGAGGGTAGTGTCTAGTGTCTAGGCGGCAAGTGACCTCTTATGAGGTCACTTTTCAACTTATCTCGACTTGTGCTGGCTCAACAAGATGGAAAGAGATACTCTCGTCATCGCAGTTGACTTTTGCGTTGCAGAAGGGTGGAGTTTGGTGAGATCTGGACGTCTTTTCGAGCCATTTTTAAAATGCCCAAAGAAGGAGCCTTTTTGACCAACCTCAAAACGTTTTATGTTGATATCTTCGAAACCAAAACGCCTGTTTAAAAAGTTAACTGATAATTGAAACTTCATTAGATTCTTAGTCTCTCTGTGCATTGACAATCGCCATCCCAATCCGCCTAATGTTTTGCAAGATATTGCCGAGGGCGTACCCGAAGGGTATACGTTAAAGAAATGGTGTCCAAACTGACTTTTTTAAAGTTTCGATTTAATAAGGTTGTCCGTAAAATAACGCCTTGTTTTTTTCCATTTGCCGATGACGGACCGCAAGGACAGACTGTCCGTATCACAGTCTGTCCAAAACAGTATTTAGGAGACGCGACGGCAACGACGAATAAAGACCACCCCACGAGGATTACGATTCATCAGCCCACAAAGTCGCTGGACGAAAGAAATCCCGAGCTTGAAATTTTCCACCACGAGTTTTGCGGACTCACCTCCAGCAAGGTACCTGCCCGCAACAAACGCAAGTCTGGTACATCGTTGTGCCGCCCTACGGATCAAGTGCGCCTGCGCGAATACTCGCTGAAGCGAATATTGTAGCTCGCCACAAGGATAGAATAGTTCTCAGTCGAAAAGGGCGATGTGTTTCGTCTTCTTGACAGCCTGAGGGGGGGCCGTTTAGAGAGGACCGCTATTTAGAAGCTTCTACTTGTCTATCTTTCGCGGTTGCTTCGGCGGCATCTGTGGCAGATCCTGTCGCGCTTTGATCCATTCATGGACTCTGCGCAGATGAAGCGATAGGGGCGTCCATGACGCATATCGATGCGAGCCGTCTAAGACTCGTTTGTGCTGATGAAAAGAACGGAAGACACACTTTGTTTTTCTTCACGACGGGTCGATCCGGCAGGGCTGTGATCAGGCGGATGTGAAACTCGTGGAAAACTCACATTCCCCGAGTTTTCGGTATGCTGTGAGTTTTGCCGAACTTGTTTGAAAATTTTGCGTTCAGAAAATCCGAGCAAACTCGCCGCCAAAACAAGTGTTTTCGTGACTTTACGGACAACCTTATTTTAAATGACTTCAAACAGGCAAATAGAAGGCAAGAGTATTCAAAACAAACAATGGGGGCATCTTATCGCTGTTTATTGAATTTTAAGGTACATGCAATGGCGCCCTCGACAAAGATCTGGCAATGCCCGAGACGGACAAAGCTCTAATAAAAGCAGGCAACACCCAGCTTGGTCTCAGAAAACTGCAAATACGCCACTCTCTCCACGCACGGACTTCATGGAAAACTACGCCATCTTGGAGCTTTTGTGACTAAAATGAGTAAAAACATCTCGCATTTGTTCAGCCCTTCAGTTTGAGGATTTTACTATAGTCAGACTACAGGAGATACATTGCGGATCACACCGCTCATAGTATTTCCAGGAGCAATATTACGGAAAGATTTCTCACTTCAACATATACCTAGCAGCGACTTTTCTATTTGTCGCGCATCTGGGAAAGCTTCACCAAAAAGTGGAATAGCATGTCAGTAATAATATCCATTGCCTCATCCTCTTCCAATCCCATCCTGATGCCCCTGTACAGAGTAAATTCCTGGACGAATTTGATGAAGCTCTCACAAAGCGAGTACCATGGGTTTAGAAATAGTCTCTCTATCACATGAGAGCAAACATCCCTTGCCGGTTCCTCCAAGGCACGGTCGCAGAACACGTCCATAGTCTCAATCCATCTCTCTGTGTTTCTTACGGCCTTATGAAGACGCGCTAACCTTTTCTCACATTTCTCCCACGCTTCCCGAGACTTCTCAACTTTCGAGACGTCACAATAGCCTTCATAAAGGTCATATCTATCTAAAATGGTCCGACAGATTGGGCACTTAACGAATGGATATGGCTGAGATTGTAAATACTTCTCTATGCACTGCTTGTGGAGCCTGTGCCCGCAAATAACGCAATCGGATGGAAATTTGGAAACCTTCTCTAGGCAGACGGCACACTCACCTTCACCTTCATTGCCGCTGATTTTCATCTCCACGTTACACCGCGTGGCAATGACGGCAAGAGACGATTTGAATAAATTTAATTCTGCCATCGCCCTCCTGTTCACAACTTTGGTGTCAATTAACTCATGCGCAGTAGCCAGCATTGGCGGATACTTTGTTTTAGTGCGAAGAATTAACTTCATGTAATAACTGACTTCATAGAAGATACCTTGGTTCATTTTGGATTTGCAAGCTCAAAGCGATATTGCCTTGGGGAGTTCGAAATGATACGTTTTGACTTTGCAAGTTCGAAGTGTTGTTTGATTTCTGGATGAGATATTTCGGAAGCTTACGCTGTAATAGAACAGCGTCGCGATGAGGTATTTATACAATTTGGCCGAGCCCAACAAGACCGTTGTCTCGCTATTATGATCAAACCTAATATATTAATATTGCTTAAATGTAAAGCTCTTGTCTTATAAGCTTGATGCTGACCGGTGAAAGTTACTGAATGAGATCGTTAGGTGAATTTTCGCTCTTGTGGAAACAATTATAAAAACTTTTCATACAGTTTTCATACAGTTTTGCCGTAGTCAGTGTATCGCATAAAGGCCTTGCGTGCATAAAAGTATTTTAATAGCAGGGAACGGTGTTAAGGAAAAGCTCGAAATGTGACACGCACCCATCAAACAGAATTCCCAGCCCTTCATTTTAAAAATGCAGAAACCCTTTTAGCGGCCTTGGACGTATTCCTCGTCCCAAAATTTCTATACTGTAAATAATTGAAATTTGATTCTGTAAACATGGGTGGGCGGTCACCTTGATTATTGCGAAGGCAGGACGCGACCAGAATGCTTTAATGTAAATATTCGCTTCACTCTTTCCCATCTGCGGGTGTGAGAGGACCATTTCCCAATCTTTTCTCCTCCCTCCATTAAACAGCATACGGTAAATAGGTATTGGTTGCGCTGTCGGGAGATACTGACCGATTACGCCATCCTGGAGTTCGCATTTGTTAAACGACCGCATTTTTGACAGTCATTTATTTGAAGGATGGCACTACAGAGTAAAGTCTCGATAAGCTGCGTACCTGATATGATGAACTGTCTCGGTACAGTGAACCGAAGGACTATGAGGGAGGCGCCACCCCGCTTTTTTGGCCCAGAATCGACGTTTTCGTATTTCTAACGTGAACTAGACTCTATAGAATGAACTACGCGATACCATGAACATACAAAAACATGAAAACCCCAGAGTTCACTTTATCGAGGCCGAAATGCGCACTAGGAAGGAACCATCAACGACTACAGAAGCCATCCATACGACTTTGCCTCAGATTCGAACGCTGAAGCCTCCTTACGCGGCTTTGTTCCTCATACAGAAGTGACTTGATGCTCGAAGGCAGCCCCGATTGAACTAGATTCGCGTCCGTCATAATACAACTGAGTTCGTTAGATAGAGCTTCTAATGTTCCGCGATACCAAGCAAGCGACGGTTTGCGCCCTGTCCGGTCTTTCGCTGGCACAGTAGAGCGATCGTCCTCACTATCTGAATCACCGTTAAATTGATCTTGCTCAATGCCAGTAAATGCCCCAAAATCCCCTAATCCAAGATCAATGGCTTGACCGAGAGCTGACTCTTCTGATATAGACTCTGGATGTGGCAGAATTAAAAGAAAAGGAAGACTGGATCACAATGTGAAGTGGTCCAGATATGGAATTGCGCCCGTCGACGTTGCCCGTCGACGTTGCCCGTCGATGGACAGAGTGAAGGAAAGTGAGTTTGTGTTCCTGTGACCGTATCATCGGCATTGGTGGAGACGCTCTAAGAGCGTCTCCACTGGTGTGGTCCAAATCATACTGTACCCGTAAAACGGGTACACGTGTACACGAGCAGTTCCGCCGCCGTGAACTGCCTCGGTAAGGCGAACTCAATGGGCTGCTCGGAAGCGCCACATTTCGGTTCACGATATCGAGACTTTACTCTGTACACGGAAAGACTAGATTCTTCCGTCTACTACGGTCAATATATATTGTACTTACAGAGTAGGTATTCCAGGCTGCGGCTCATATCCGACAGAAAAATTCCAGAACATTACTTTCTGACAAATGCTGCATTGCTCTTTTACTAACCCCCTACATCCATGAGTCTAAAGGCGATTCAGTTCGAGTGCGGGATGAAACCAAGGGCACTTGTTATTAGATTGTGACCGACACCGGATGGCATACGGCCCGCTTTTAATCGCAAATCGTAGAGAATAATGCCAGCGCGAGCGTCTTGCGTACTAGTTCAGCGGTGCGCAGCGTTAGTAAAATGAGCAGAGTGACTTAATTATGTTGACTTTGGTTGCAAAGCGGTTCTTAAGATTGACACACTTGACGTTGCGGGTTGAACGCTCAGGGTTAGTAAGTGGTGTCCCCTGCCTCCGTTTCTCTCCCCAACCGAACTCCGCGCCTTTTATAGAGATCCTACAGCGTATATAGAACAACGTTGGAGAGGCAAGCCTACAATAGGTTGAAATTTCAATCTAGAACTAATCCTAATAGGCAGAGATGCAGGCATCGATGCACACGGTTGTGAATCAGGACGGCGTGGTGCTGGCGCCGCATTTCGTGCGTAGTTTGAACGGAAATCGTTTGCGGGCGGAGATGCAGTGACTTTTCGGGCGGCTCAGAGGACGCATGGCCGTTGCCCGGGCGCGGGGCAGCGCGTCCTGAATGGGAGCCGTGCCGCGCGAATCGCGCTATCCCGCCGATTGGCCATGCACTCGCACCTCAGCGACTGCTGCCGACCGTACCCCGCGTGGGGTGGAGCAACGTAGGTACGCGGAGAGAGAACGCAGCTGCGTGCGGCCGACGGGGGCCCGGGTAAGCTGGAAGGCGTGTTATCTCTACAGAAGTCGCACGAAGAGTGTGGTACAATTGCCAAGTGGCGCTACTGTACTAGGCGGGTACCAGGGGCTCGGCCGAGTACAGTAGTAAGATGTTAACCGATACGGTACATACGTGCCCAGCACGTGTAGATGTGGCCACGTGGGAGTCCACGTGTAGTTAGTGGCACCAGCTAGTGCA